ACCCCACCTCCTCCTCTCTCTCTCTCTCTCTCTCATGCGCACGCTCGCTCGTATAAAATATATAACCAATAAATACATTCGTATACATGTGCATTTCCTGAGAAGAATCAGAATGTGAGAAGAGTCATATTTACCTGAGGGGCCTTCTGGTATCGGCCTGCAGCGAATCCACATCTAAGCTCCTATAAGGTTTTTCATAGTCATAGTCACTCTCGCTGCCCCTCGGGCCTCCTTTGCTGTTGGACGAATTGGAGGCAGCTTTGGAGGAGGGGCAGGTGGAGGAGGAGGAGGGAGGGAGGAAGGTGGAGGGTGAAGTGGTGGAGGAGGGGAGGACACGGGCGCCCTTACCGCCGTTGTTGCAGGCGGCAGAGGAGGAGGAGGTGGAGGAGACGGAGCAGGTGGAGGGGGAGGGCAGCTCGTGGTGCTGGTGGTGCGTGCTGGGCACCATGTCACGGAAAAACTGCTTGCTGCTGGAGGTGTGCATGCCGCCCCCTCCCCCGCTGATACTGCTGCAGCTCCCCGGCGAGATCTCCACGTAGGGATCTCCCCCGCTCGCGCTGGCCCCGCCCCCTCCTCCTCCTGCCCCTGTGGCAAGCATCAGGTGCTTGGCCTTCAGCTTGTTGATATCCTGCTGCTCCTCGTTGCTGATCTTGATGCTGGACGAGTTGGAGGAGGAGGAGGGCAGCGGCGTGGTGAAGATTTCCGTGGACTTCGTGTTGTTCATGTTGTTGATGTAGTTCTGCTCCTTCTCGCGGGCCAGGTTCTCCATGTTCTGCTGGTCGTGGTGGCGCCGCTGCAGGTAGGAGCACTTGCGGCAGAGCAGGATAATCATGGCGATGATGATCAGGATGAGCGGAATGCCCACGCCCAGACACACGATGAGCAGCAGCTCCGTCTTGCTCAGACCCACGCCCTCGCCGTCATCGTCGTCCTGGTCCTCGCCCGAGCCCACCTGGCCCGAGAAGTCTCCGTTGACCGGCGTGGTGTTGGACCTGAGCGGAGGTGGGCTGGTCACCGCGCCGTCCCACGCGTCCGTGTTGCCGACCGAGGCGCCTTCATACAGGTGACAGTTCTTACCCCAGAACCCTTCCGGACACTCGCAGGCGTAGTCGGCGAACACGCCTTTACAGATCCCGCCGTTGAGGCACGGGTTGTTCTTGCACTCGTCGATCTGAAGGCTGCAGTCCTTGCCCTCGAATCCCGGCGCGCACTTGCAGGAGAAGTCGTTGACGAGGTCCTTGCAGTGCCCGCCGTTGGCGCAGGGCCGCATCTCGCAGTCGTCCACGTTGTCCTGGCACAGAGTGCCCACGTACCCAGCCACACACTGGCACCGGAAGTCGTTGATCATGTCGATGCAGGTGCCGCCGTTATGGCAGGGGCTGTGGTGGCAGTCGTCGTCGTTGTGCTGACACTCGGGCCCGCTGAAGCCGGTGGGGCACACGCAGCGGTAGCCGTTCAGCTGGTCGATACAGCGGCCGCCTGTCGGGGTGGAAAGGATGAGAAGACTTAACGTTTGGAAGAGAGTGCGAGTAAAGAGTTTGAGTGAACAGAAGAAAACAGATGGTCTTTTGGTGATGAGAATAAATTATACAAAGAGATACCAACAAGAGAGGTGAAACAATAAAACCTATCAGTGGCGCCCTCCAATCATCCGTACAGGGGAAGGAGGGAGAGAGGAAAGAGGGAAGGGAGGGAGAGGGGAGAGAGAGAGAGAGAGAGAGAGA